TGCTGCTTGGCTATGCACACTAACACGCTGCCACTGCAGCCCAAGTCCATAGACCCCACGGTTCCAAGAACAATACTTACCTTGCGAGCCTGAAATGTTAGAACTCGTACAAAGAACCACAAGTCCAAAACAACAGAACACCTGTCGTGACTTGGTAAAGCGCACACGCGCGCTGCATAGCATCGACCAGAGTTGATGAACCACGGAAGTCCAAGGCTCAAACCCACAGGAAACCTGCAGTAACCTGGAAACTGTGTACTCACACACTGCCACGGCAGCCCAAGGCTCAAATACACAGGAAACGGTGGTAACCTTGATAATGTGCACTTTACGTGCTGCCGCACCCCAAGCCACACTGGGAGCAGTTACATTCAAGCGATAAAACCTCACAAAGGTATGTCAGGAATCCCAACTCGCTTCAGCACAGATATCACCAATCGTCATGCCCCTGAACAATGCCCAAGACGCCACCACACCCCTAGTGGAGTTAGCACGCACACCGCTAGGCAACCCTTGTCTTTTGCTGTCATATGCCAGGGAGATAGCGTCCACAATCCAATAAGAAAGACGCTGCTTAAAAAGCGCCTTACCCCGAGCTGGATTACTGAAACAGACAAAAGGCTGGCCACAAACGCGGATATCCTTGGTCCTATCCATATATGTGCATAAAGCACACACCAGACACAAGCCATGCAACATTCGTTGTTCACTGGATGCAAATGGAGGAGGTGAGAAAGGGAAAGTTCGAAAGCCAGAACCTGTAAGACATAAGCATAACCTTGGGAGCAAAAGCTGCATTAGGACGTAACATCACTTTGGAGTCGCCAGGTGCTAACTCCAAACAGGAAGGATGTGCTGATCGCGAACACGCTTGGCCGACGCCAAGGCCATGAGCAGGGCAGTCTTACAGGAAAGGACCTTCAGGTCCACAGACTCCAATGGTTCAAACGGAGTCTCACAGAGCATCCAGGATCAAAGACAGGTCCTGTTTTGGTGCCATTAGCTTTGACACTGGTCTGAGCTGACGCACACCTTTCAGGAACCGCACCACCAGAAGATGAGACCCCGGGGTAGAGCCATAAATTCCTACATGACACGCAGAGATGGCTGCCACATAAACGTTCAATGCAGAAAAAGAAAGGCCCTGCTCAAAAAGCTCTTCCAAGAACATCAAAATGTCCACCAAAGAGCTCTGAACAGGAGAAACTCCTTTAACCTGACACCAACCCTCAAACACACACCACTTATATTTATACAACTCTCTCGTAGAGGGCGCACGCACCAACTGTATAGTCGTAATCACGTTCATGGGTGCCAAACTCTCCTGTGCGCCTGGGACAATAGATCCCGACTACACGGAACCCTTCACGGGTCCCCGCCCAACAGGCGGATGATCTTCAGGAACCAGGGTTGTCTGGGCCAACAGGGAGCCACCAGAATCAACAACAGACCCTCCTGATGGACTCTCTCCACGATGGCCTGAATCAGGTCCACCGGAGGAAACGCATAGAGCAGGGTCCGAGGCCACTGAGATGCCAAAGCATCCATTCCCAACGGAGCACCCGGATCCCTCATTGAGAAGAACAGACGACAATTAGTGTTTTCTCAGTAAGGATGCGTCTGTCGTGATCACCCTGTGGAGTCAAACAACTTTTCTTGTGATTCACTATGAACCACAGAGTCTGAATATGGGAAACCAACGTGGCAGTGTGGAGCTCCACCTGTTCTCTTGACGCTCGCTACGACCGGCCAATCATCCAGATAGGCCAATACTCTGATCCTCTGGCACCGCACTGCACCATCTGATTCACACTCTGAAAACCCTCCAGAGCCAACCAAGGAAAGTATATCATCCCCGGAATCCGGACCCTGAACACTGCCAGAGAAACCGTAATGAGCCTCACTCAGCTGGGATGACACCCCTATCTACTCCGACCACCACTGCTACTGGTCCGAGCCAAAGCCTCCTGAGCGTGTTTCCACCCCCAGCAAACAGGACAGCACCGGTGAGTATCTTTAATTTTCATTGTGAAACCACATGCCCTAGGGCAGGGTGGGAGGTTCGTTTTTGAACTCTTACCACTGGCCATCTTGCTCAAAGAAGCATTGGCTACACAAGCAGAGCAGAAAGTATTGGGTTTTTAGCAAACACAAATCTTACCCAAGGAAGGAAGCAATTAGCTACACAAGCAGAGCAGAAAGTGGTAGCTTTTAGCAAACACAAAAACCGATACCAAGACCCAAAACTCGCAACATCTAGGGGGACGAGTACTCTCTCCTCACTAACAGACACCTAAGTCAGAGCTGAATCTCGTAGTCTTGGTGCGCTTGAAACACTTGTAAATTGCGTGACATGTTCTTCCTTCAGGCGAGCTGAAGAGCGAAGAATTGAGGAAATGGATGCGAGCCCCGGTATTATAGCCAGGAAGGCGGAGCTTCCGAGGGCGGGCTCGGCATCCATTGGCCCGTTGGGCATGATTTCAGTTTTCAGGTGAATATGATTGGTCGTTGACTCCCCATAGTATGTTACACAGAGTGACCGACTGAAAGGGAACCCTTTGTTTTGTATCCCAAAAAGACTACAAGCGCTTGGTGGAATGAGTTTGTCTAACAATGAGCAGGGAAGAGACAAATGATGAAAGCTATGATGAGATCAGTCAGTTCTTCAGGGCCATGAGAAGAAGAGGGAGGGAGAGATGCCCCATATTGAAGCTATAAGGTAGTGGTCTGTTTGTCTGTCAGAGTCCAGAAGAATGAGAAGAGATGATGCCCCATATTGAAGCGTCTTTCACCAGGTTGTCATCGTCTAATGAGAACTCCAGAAACCCTATGGGCCTATGATGAAAAACAGGATGGATATGGGGGAAAAAAGCAGCAATTATTTTATTAGGCATGCAATTTTTTAGGCGAAACAGAGGAGCCCGAGACAGGCGATGCGACTCCCCTCTGGCACCAACAGAGGTTCTACACCTGGCAACCATTGGGAGGCTTCTTTAAAGTGAGTTTATTTAGAAAATGACTTATAGTTATCTCTCAGAGTTTGTCATAAGAAGCTACTCTGTAATGAGTTCCATAAAGGCTGACTGTGTTTCCCGTGAGATGGTAGCTGCTATGAGGTTGCTCATATGTCAGATTTTATGACCGACGCAGGGTATTGAATGACACAGCACATCCCTGTTGCACAGTTGTAATAAACTCAATGCAAACAGTAGTGTAGTGATTCCCCTTTTCATAGGGAGATATACCGCAACCATTACCATTGTAACACAGAAATAACTGGAAAATAAGTAGTCATCAAAAGGTTATTTTCACAGATGACGCATCTTGAATTAATTGAGGACATAAATATACATTTATTTTTACCAAAACATGAGAAAAAAGTATTTAAATGGAACTATTTTGGATAGCAAGACATCTGATGTTTGTGTGGTTAGGATCATTCCCAATGTGGGCCCCTGGCATTGGAATGGAAAATTATAGGCTTTGTCGGTACTAATGATTATGTAGTATCAACACAAGTGTACACATCAATTAGTGGGTGGCAACACAGAGAGATTTGCATTTTATCTTTATATAGGTTTAGTGGCTTAAACCGGCTGGCGGATTGCCAGGAGCGGAATGAATGGTGTCTATATCACGGCCTACACATAATAACACCAAGAACACCAAAGACACTTTTCACTCAGCTCTCAGGTGTGCAGCCAATGGGAGTTCACCATATTACACAGACACAGAAATGAGAACGAGGGGGGTTGGCTCCAGAAGAGGGGTTGAGAGGTAGTGTCGCTCTATGTTTAAGTTGACAGGAGAGTGTTGTGCATTAGAGTGCTCTCAGAGAAGAATTGGTAGTCAAAACAGTGAGGTACTTGACCAGGTAAGCTAAGTGGAGAGTGGAGGTGCCGTTTGGATCAATACTCCTCATTGTTGAAGTCATGCAGACTTCAAAAGCAGTGGGCCTCGCTCTCAGGGGCCTGCCTTTCCCACCTCTGCTCCTCTCCACAGCCACACAGAACTGTTTATAAATATTACCACTGTTAAACAAATCAGCCATCCTCTTCATGCAGCATGGAACATTTCGTTCACAGCCATTGACATTTACCTCCCACTCACACATCGAGTGCCTGAACACTCAGCCTGTCTAACACAGCTGACATATAGACAGAAATATTCTGCAGTAAAAAATGAATAGGAGTTTCCTTTTTCTTGTGTTTCTAATTTTCCAAACCAACCACTCAAAGCTGGATGGATGGATTCATCTGCTGGTAGGAAACTATGCAGCACAGCAGCGGGGTGGGCATGTAACCTTACAGCCTCGATAGGAGGCGTTCGCCCGGAAAAGACTGCTCACTTCTCAAGATGCAACTCATCAACAAGGAGGACTTTTGTGGCTGCTCACAATCAACAAAGCGGGAGGAGAGATCAAAGGGTCACGTCCAGGGAAAATCTAATTATAACGGACATTTCCCATCTTAAAGGGAAGTTCTTCAGAAGAGGTTGGTGGCCACCGCTTGGCTTTGGAGCCTGCTGAATGAGCCGTTACCTTGTGTTAGCGTTTTTACGGGGAATGCACACCACTGACTAAATTACTGTTTGTCCAGCATCTCGAGAGCTGGTTCTGCCTGAGTGCAGAGACAGAGGAGGAGCAGGGTAGGATCAATCGCTCAGGTCACCCTAGGAAGACCCCTGCTTCAAACAGGAAATACTGTCTCACACCAGGGAATAACACAGTGGAGACAGTTTACACTGGCCTGCTCTACATTCTCCCTTTTGGAGAAGGTAGCAGAGTTTGCTTTTTGCTAATGTTATTTGTCTTGCATTTTCTATAAAAAAGGAAGGTATTAGAATGTTTTATTACAGTGACTCATGTATCTCAAAAAAAAAAAAGGATATATTTATCTGTATAATGATCTGTATGTTTGTGAAAATGTGTACATTAGGACAATTACTGTGTCCGGAACAGTATTCTTACATTACAGAAAAAGGGACGGAGCGCGAGGTACCTACTCCAGAAACTCAGTGATGTACTTGCGGCTGCACTTGGACCAGGACCAGGGGCTGGTGTCGTAGTTGAGGGTGGGCGCCATGACGTGATACTGGTGCTTCATGCCTGCCTCCCTGCATTTGGGGTTGTCATCATGGGGCATGTTGAACCTGCCGAGGAGGAGGGAGGAAGGGAACACACACACACAGAGAGCGATTAGGAAGAAGGGGGGACGGCTGCTCAGTGGATCAGATAGCCTAGCTGGTTAGAGCGTTGGGCCAGTAACCGAAAGGTTGCTGGTTTGAATAACTGAGCCGACAACGTGAAAAATCTGCTGATGTGTCTTTGAGCAAGGTACTTTACCCTAATTTGCTCCAGGGAAGCCTTACTACTATGGCTGACCCTGTAAAACACCACATTTTATTGCACCTATCCGGTGTAAATCAAATCAAATCAAATTTTATTTGCCACATGCGCCGAATACAACAGGTGTAGACATTACAGTGAAATGCGCCCTTAACCAACAATGCAAAGCAAAATAAAAAAAGTGTTAAGTAAAAAAAATTAAAGCAAATAACTAAAGAGCAGCAGTAAAATAAAATAACAGTAGGGAGGCTATATACAGGGGGGTACCGGTACAGAGTCAATGTGCGGGGGCACCGGCTAGTTGAGTACCGCTTGCCGTAAGGTAGCAGAGAGAACAGTCTATGACTAGGGTGGCTGGAGTCTTTGACAATTTTTAGGGCCAGACACCGCCTGGTATAGAGGTCCTGGATGGCAGGAAGCTTGGCCCCAGTGATGTACTGGGCCGTACGCACTACCCTCTGTAGTGCCTTGCGGTCGGAGGCCGAGTAGTTGCCATACCAGGTGGTGATGCAACCAGTCAGGATGCTCTCGATGGTGCAGCTGTATAACTTTTTGAGGATCTGAGGACCCATGCCAAATCTTTTCAGTCTCCTTGTCGTGCTCTCTTCACGACTGTCTTGGTGTGTTTGGACCATGATAGTTTGTTGGTGATGTGGACACCAAGGAACTTGAAGCTCTCAACCTGTTCCACTACAGCCCCGTCGATTTGAATGGGGGCGTGCTCAGTCCTCTTTTTTTCCTGTAGTCCACAATCATCTCCTTTGTCTTGATCACGTTGAGGGAGAGATTGTTATCCTGGCACCACACGGCCAGGTCTCTGACCTCCTCCCTATAGGCTGTCTAATCGTTTTCGGTGATCAGGCCTACCACTGTTGTGTCGTCGGAAAACTTAATGATGGTGTTGGAGTCGTGCCTGGCCATGCAGTCATGGGTGAACAGGGAGTACAGGAGGGGACTGAGCACGCACCCCTGAGGGGCCCCCGTGTTGAGGATCAGCGTGGCAGATGTGTTGTTACCTACCCTTACCACCTGGGGGCGGCCTGTCAGGAAGTCCAGGATCCAGTTGCAGAGGGAGGTGTTTAGTCTCAGGATCATTAGCTTAGTGATGAGCTTTGAGGGCACTATGGTGTTGAACGCTGAGCTGTAGTCAATGAATAGCATTCTCACGTAGGTGTTCCTGTTGTCCAGGTGGGAAAGGGCAGTGTGGAGTGCAATAGAGATTGCATAATCTGTGGATCTGTTGGGGCGGTATGCAAATTGGAGTGGGTCTAGGGTTTCTGGGATAATGGTGTTGATGTGAGCCATGACCAGCCTTTCAAAGCACTTCATGGCTACAGACGTGAGTGCTATGGGTCGGTAGTCATTTAGGCAGGTTATCGTAGTGTCCTTGGGCACAGGGATTATGGTGGTCTGCTTGAAACATGTTGGTATTACAGACTCAGTCAGGGACATGTATGTGACAACTAAACATCTTTTTTTTTAAGCAATGGTCTTCAATGAACATGACCTGAAACTACGATGTACAGTCGTGGTCAAAGGTTTTGAGAATGACACAAGTATTGGTCTTCACAAAGTTTGCTGCTTCAGTGTTTTTAGATATTTTTGGTTACTATGGTATACTGAAGTATAATTACAAGCATTCGATAAGTGTCAAAGGCTTTTATTGACAATTACATTAAGTAATGCAAAGAGTCAATATTTACAGTGTTGACCCTTCTTTTTCAAGACCTCTGCAATCCGCCCTGGCATGCTGTCAATTAACTTCTGGGCCACATCCTGACTGATGGCAGCCCATTCTTGCATAATCAATGCTTGGAGTTTGTCAGAATTTGTGGGGTTTTGTTTGTCCACCCGCCTCTTGAGGATTGACCACAAGTTCTCAATGGGATTAAGGTTTGGGGAGTTTCCTGGCCATGGACCCAAATTGTTGATGTTTTGTTCCCCGAACCACTTAGTTGTCACTTTTGCCTTATGGAAAGGTGCTCCATCATGCTGGAAAAGGCATCGTTCATCACCAAACTGTTCTTGGATGGTTGGGAGAAGTTGCTCTCGGAGGATGTGTTGGTACCATTCTTTATTCATGGCTGTGTTCTTAGGCAAAATTGTGATTGAGCCCACTCCCTTGGCTGAGAAGCAACCCCACACATGAATGGTCTGAGGATGCTTTACTGTTGGCATCACAGGACTGATGGTAGCGCTCACCTTGTCTTCTCCGGACAAGCTTTTTTTCCGGATGCCCCAAACAATCGGAAAGGGGATTCATCAGAGAAAATGACTTTAACCCTGTCCTCAGCAGTCCAATCCCTGTGCCTTTTGCAGAATATTAGTCTGTCCCTGATGTTTTTCCTAGAGAGAAGTGGCTTCCTCGCTGCCCTTCTTGACACCAGGCCATCCTCCATAAGTCTTCACCTCACTGTGCGTGCAGATGCACTCACACCTGCCTGCTGCCATTCCTGAGCAAGCTCTGCACTGGTGGTGCCCCGATCCCGCAGCTGAATCAACTTTAGGAGACGGTCCTGGCGCTTGCTGGACTTTCTTGGGCGCCCTGAAGCCTTCTTCACAACAATTGAACCTCTCTCCTTGAAGTTCGTGATGATCCGATAAATGGTTGATTTAGGTGCAATCTTACTAGCAGCAATATCCTTGCCTGTGAAGCCCTTTTTGTGCAAAGCAATGATGATGGCACGTGTTTCCTTGCAGGTAACCATGGTTAACAGAGGGAGAACAATGCAATGATTTCAAGCACCACCCTCCTTTTAAAGCTTCCAGTCTGTTATTCTAACTCAATCAGCATGACAGAGTGATCTCCAGCCTTGTCCTCGTCAAAACACTCTCACCTGTGTTAACGAGAAAATCATTGACATGATGTCAGCTGGTCCTTTTGTGGCAGGGCTGAAATGCAGTGGAAATGTTTTTGGGGGATTAAGTTCATTTTCATGGCAAAGAGGGACTTTGCAATTAATTGCAATTCATCTGATCATTCTTCATAACATTCTGGAGTATATGCAAATTGCCATCATAAAAACTGAGGCAGCAGACTTTGTGAAAATTAATATTTGTGTCATTCTCAAAACTTTTGACCATGACTGTAGAGATGTGGGCCTTTGACACATTACATCTCAGATTGAATTAATTCTAGCAGCTAAATAGTGAATAGTCTTATAAAGTTTCTCATCTTTTTGATGTAGGGCTGTGGCGCTCATGACATATTTTCAGCCGGTTATTGTCATGCAAAAGACTACCGGTCTCACGGTAATTGACCGGCAATTAACATAAACACGTTTAGCATCTTCAGGCTTCCACGCATACAAGCCGCTGATGCGTGCCTTTGGAACATCTACATTTAAAAGTCTAATAAATGTATTTAACACACACCATCACAATAAATCCATTATTTATTTAGTCAGGTCTAAAGAAACATTATGATATGAAGAAAATATATTTCCGATGAACAGAATACGAGTTGGCCTACTGTATGTTATCTGGCTATGCTCCATGCAATAGGCTGTAGGCTTGTTCATTTAGCTGACAAGATATGCTTTTATAGTAAGAAGAATATAATTGAACTGAGCTGAATATAATAGAAAGGATATTTTTCCCATTCCGGAACAAGTGTGCATATGAACTGGCTATGTTGAGCGTAAAAGTGATCATTTAAAACAGGTCCTATACGCTAGATTTTGAGTTATTTGACAACTTTAGTTGTGAATGATACAAACCTTAGAATGTCTTAGAAGTCAAAACATATATGGGCTGCATGATGCGACTATATAGACTATTGATGATTTGAGAAAGTCACAAAAAAGCTTGCGCTCTGTTCCTTGCCTCAGGCTGCACAGCTGTTCTCTCATCAAGTGATCATATTTTCACCAATCAGACTATTATCAAATTAATCTTCTCTTCCTGCCGGTCCGTTTTTCAATGATGCCTGGTAGGCTACTTCGGTTTTATAGCGATGTCACGACTCCCTCCGAAGCTGCCGCCTCTCCTTGTTCGGGCAGGCTTCGGCGTTCGTCGTCACCGGCCTTCTAGCCACTGCCGCTCCTCATTTCATCATTCCATTGGTTTTGTCTTGTTCATTACACACACCTGGTTCATCACACTCCTCAGTACCTGTATAAGTGTTCCCTCTGCCCCCTTATCTTTGTGTGTGATTGTTTATTGTGAGGATAGTGAAGCTCGGTGGAGCTCCTTTTATTTTGTATCGCCAGATTATTTTCCCCGTGTGCACTGTTGGTTCCAGTGCGCCTGTTTTGCGCACTGGACTGTTTTGACGCATTACTGCGTAACTCTGTTTTCCGGAATACATCCTGTTATTCTGTGATTTACCCTCCTGCGCCTGACTCCTTCAACTCACCCATCACAAGCGGAGCTGTGCTTAATATGAGCAGCTGAGAAATATATACAAGAACACTTATTTCACTCATCAACAACTGTTTGAGGAGCATGCTCTCGCTGCGTGATAGGTGATATTCCGCCCAAACTCTGTATGTTATGGGCTCTCCAACCCTGTTCCTGCAGCCACCCAGTGCTTCATTTAGGAAACCAAGTGAAATCTGTTCGGGAACATCGATAGTAACATGTTTTCGCAACGAAACATATTTCACTAAACTGTTGACAGCCCCTCTGCATGCTCAAGAAAGGAATAAAGGAGAGATGGAAACGCATGGTGGTGAGATATTCTGTATAGCTAAAGGTAATGTGCCACCCAATGAATTATGAAAATATAAAAATCTCCCTATTACTAGGCTATACACTTTTTTTAAAGACCTATAATTATAGTACCTGTAAGGCACCCTGAACCAACAGCATTGCCTAGGGCTATACGTTATTTCCCAGATTCATGGATATACATTTTGGAGCGTAGCATTAGGTAACCAGTCCATCCAGTATGCATAATAATACAGTCCACACTGAATGGCGATTACTCTAAATTGTTTAATTCTGGAGTATAAGTTAGACCAGTTAAAGTATGTACCAAAGACATCTTAAATCAGTTTTGTTTTTATGTTTTTCAGCCATGTGTAGTATGCGGTAGGCTATGTATTGTATAAGGCACAGTCATCATTTTAATTCAGGTATTTTTTTGGGCTTGGGCTCAATTATGCGTATGCATAAGCTGTAATATGCGTATGGGTGTTTTGAATTAATCATCACCTTAGAAAGCGCTGTCCATTTCATTGTTAAGCTTTGAAACAACATCCACAATGAGCATGTTTTCCACTCAGTTTCAACCTGCTGTTGAACTTCTTTCTTCAAATGTATTATCACAGTGAGGTGAGTTTTAAAAGCTCATACTGTTTTGATGATAAGTGTTTGATGTGATTTTCGATTGCATTTGCATTGACGTCAGAGTGGTTAAAGGGACAATAGAGCCCTGAGTACCAGGCCATTAGGACCTGATGGTCGTTAGCAAATTGGGTACTAACAACGCATGTCCAGAGTGCGTGCATAAAAGGAGATTACGTTACTCAATGGTCACGTGGAATTTTACTGCGGTCATGACTCATGACTGCCGATGTGGCGGTAATATGGTCACCGCAACAGCCCTAGCTGCTGGACTGTGCTGTACTGTGCTGAGCTGAGCTGAGTGGATGTCCTGTTTGTCCTCAACTGGCTGTGTGTGCTTTTAGTGGAGGGATGAGGTCGTCCTAAATATGCACACACACACACAGCTGCGTGATGTTTACTGCAGGAGCAGGTGGGGGTGGCAGGGGGAAGCGTTTTCATTTCTTTCTATTGTATTGATGAAGTTGTAAATTACTGTAGAGTGGGGTTTGTAGTGACCTAGCTCTCTGTCTGTCTGAGAGAGATATACGGACTGTGTTCAGTCAGGGAAATGGGATCTCAGGAGGGAGATTTGCTGAGTTGCTCAGTTGATGTCTTAAGTGCATACAGTACATCATTATCTTCCCCAGTTGTAACATACAGTTTACTGTCTCTACAGTCAGACTCCTCTCATTGAGTTGAAACAAAACAAGCTGCATCCAAAACAGATGAGACCATCAAAGCCATCCCTCCAAATCATGTCTTTACACCCCATAAATAAGGGTGTATCACAGTGAAGAAAATGACCTGAATGGGATCCGTATGACTTGGGGGAGAACATAAATAAAACCTTAGGGACTGCAGCAACAGGCTTTGTCATCACTGACAGAGAGAGAAAGATGGTAACAACCTCACAGCAGCAACATCCTAGCCCTGTCACTACAGAGAGTAGAGCACTGGGAGCCATCACACTCAGGAGAGGGGCTTGTGAACGCAGCCCAGCGATTAAACACACCAAGAGGGAAAGCCAACTGCCAGGCCAGCTGTTTGAACTTCAGCATAAACAGATCCACACAGGAGGGCTGGTTTCTGTTCGTTAGACCCAAAGAGCCAGCCCTGCCTCTCTGGAGGAATGTGTGAGGAGCGGCACTGAGCCTGACTGATGGGGAAGGAGAATAATTGTCTTTCTTAACCCAATGCCTCACACTGGCTCCATTTACTAACAAACAACAACTGGCCAGAGCGGAAGGAACGTAAAGCTGTCACCTTCACCATCAGGGAGAGAAGAGAGCGAGAGAGAGAAATACATCATTTATACCAAGTTATGTTATGGTGATTTGTTTAGAATACATGGAGGCATGTGAGAGTTTGGGTTATACTATATGTTGTGACTTGGTCATCTGGCCACAAAGCATACGGCTTCTCTTTCCATTCATACGTGGTGACATCCGTGTGTTATGAAAACAGGCCCAAGTGGGGAGCGCTGTTATCATAACAGTGCTATATTATGCAGTATAGTATGGCCACATTGTGATGAGCTCTATTTTATACGGTTCAGGTCTTTAGGGGTAATGTTTGGGACAGGCTGGGGGACAAGTCAGCTTTGGAGAACTCACATCATTCAGCTTTTGATAATGAATTGTGCTCCGGCCCCACTAAATTCCATACATTTGATATGTACTTGTCCCTACAATGACTTCCCTCCATCCTGACGTCAAGTTGAAAATAATGGGCGCCCCATGCAGAGGCCCCTGGTCCACCACATCTAAAGCCCAGGCAGTGGTGACTTTCAGCTGACTCTCATACAGAGCCCATTGGCTGCCTGGCTACCTCCTCAAAGCTGTAACACCTACAGGGTTAACTCAGGCCGCTATACTAGGGTATTAAGGTTGGCATGTTATTAAATCCCTTTTTCCCTTTATTATGCTTTGCACCTGCGTTTGAAACCAGGATAAGAGGGCTTTTGTTGTACGAGACCGGGGCAGGCCCCAGGGGGCCTGAGAGGTAGGACCAGGAGGGGGCCAGGGGTGCAGGGGAACGGGGAGTGTAGAAGGTACTTACACATGGCCCAGCTCATGAGCGATGGTGAAGGAGGCACTGAGTCCGTTCTCTTCGCTGATGGAGCAGCTCCGGTATGGGTCACACATGGTCCCTAGCTCCGCCAGCCCTGGAAGGTCACAGAGCTATTTGAACGGACAGAGAAAAAAAGCCTTCCACCGCTCCACCGCTAAAGGCGAGTAAGCCATCAAACGTCTGTTCCGTAAGAGAGATTAGTACTGTCCTCCATCACCGTCTCCTACTACACACTACACCATTCTGATCGGTCACTATATTAGCTGTCAGCTTTTGTTATAAACTATGAAAAATGTATGCACTCACTAAAACTGTAATTCGCTCTGGATAAGAGCGTCTGCTAAATGACTAAAATGTAATAAACTCATTACTGTATATTAGATCACAGTCTCAGAGGGTGTCTCAGGGAGAGTTGGGAAATGCAAAAAACACATTTTCAATTCACGTGCGTATAATACACTGCTCAAAAAAATAAAGGGAACACTTAAACAACACAATGTAACTCCAAGTCAATCACACTTCTGTGAAATCAAACTGTCCACTTAGGAAGCAACACTGATTGACAATACATTTCACATGCTGCTGTCCAAATGGAATAGACAACAGGTGGAAATTATAGGCAATTAGCAAGACACCCCCAATAAAGGACTGGATCTGCAGGTGGTGACCACAGACCACTTCTCAGTTCCTATGCTTCCTGGCTGATGTTTTGGTCACTTTTGAATGCTGGCGGTGCTTTCACTCTAGTGGTAGCATGAGACGGAGTCTACAACCCACACAAGTGGCTCAGGTAGTGCAGCTCATCCAGGATGGCACATCAATGCGAGCTGTGGCAAGAAGGTTTGCTGTGTCTGTCAGCATAGTGTCCAGAGCATGGAGGCGCTACCAGGAGACAGGCCAGTACATCAGGAGACGTGGAGGAGGCCGTAGGAGGGCAACAACCCAGCAGCAGGACTGCTACCTCCGCCTTTGTGCAAGGAGGAGCAGGAGGAGCACTGCCAGAGCCCTGCAAAATTACCTTCAGCAGGCCACAAATGTGCATGTGTCTGCTCAAACGGTCAGAAACAGACTCCATGAGGGTGGTATGAGGGCCCGACGTCCACAGGTGGGGGTTGTGCTTACAGCCCAACACCGTGCAGGACGTTTGGTATTTGCCAGAGAACACCAAGATTGGCAAATTCGCCACTGGCGCCCTGTGCTCTTCACAGATGAAAGCAGGTTCACACTGAGCACATGTGACAGACGTGACAGAGTCTGGAGATGCCGTGGAGAAAGTTCTGCTGCCTGCAACATCCTCCAGCATGACCGGTTTGGCGGTGGGTCAGTCATGGTGTGGGGTGGCATTTCTTTGGGGGGCCGCACAGCCCTCCATGTGCTCGCCAGAGGTAGCCTAACTGCCATTAGGTACTGAGATGAGATCCTCAGACCCCTTGTGAGACCATATGCTCGTGCGGTTGGCCCTGGGTTCCTCCTAATGCAAGACAATGCTAGACCTCATGTGGCTGGAGTGTGTCAGCAGTTCCTGCAAGAGGAAGGCATTGATGCTATGGACTGGCCCGCCCGTTCCCCAGACCTGAATCCAATTGAGCACATCTGGGACATCATGTCTCGCTCCATCCACCAACGCCACGTTGCACCACAGACTGTCCAGGAGTTGGCGGATGCTTTAGTCCAGGTCTGGGAGGAGATCCCTCAGGAGACCATCCGCCACCTCATCAGGAGCATGCCCAGGCGTTGTAGGGAGGTCATACAGGCACGTGGAGGCCACACACACTACTGAGCCTCATTTTGACTTGTTTTAAGGACATTACATCAAAGTTGGATCAGCCTGTAGTGTGGTTTTCCACTTTAATTTTGAGGGTGACTCCAAATCCAGACCTCCATGGGTTGATACATTTGATTTCCATTGATAATTTTTGTGTGATTTTGTTGTCAGCATATTCAACTATGTAAAGAAAAAAGTATTTAATACGATTATTTCATTCATTCAGATCTAGGATGTGTTATTTTAGTGTTCCCTTTAATTTTTTTGAGCAGTGTATATTGGAAAAATATAATCACCGACCAAATTATTTATTATTTAGATACTAGCCGATTGTGAAACATTGAAACATACATTTTAATCTGAAAGTGAAGCTGTTTGTTTACCCAATGTATCACACTTGTCTTTAGCTCGGCAGATGTCTTCCCTGTGAGAAGACACAAGCACAAGCAACACACACCATTATTCAACATCTGTATAAAAGCAGTTGTATGTGTGTTAGGGTAGTAAGACAATGTAGATGGATAAAAGGTGAAAGGTCAGTAAATCCTGTACCTTGTGATCAGGAGTGCAGTGTCATGGTGGGAAGGGTGACTGTCGTCCTGGACGTTTTGAGTCTGTTGCCAGACACAGAAGTTGTGGAGGGTAGTAGCAGCATTGAAATTTATTGAGGGTCCATCCTGTGAGACATGACATACAGTGAGGGGAAAAAGATATTTGATCCCCTGCTGATTTTGTACGTTTGCCCACTGACAAAGACATGATCAGTCTATAATTTTAATGGTAGGTTTATTTGAACAGTGAGAGACAGAATAAAAACATAAAAATCCTGAAAAATGCATGTCAAAAATGTTATAAATTGATTTGCATTTTAATGAGGGAAATAAGTATTTGACTCCTCTACAAAATATGACTTTGTACTTGGTGGCAAAACCCTTGTTGGCCACCAGGTTTGCACACATCTCAGGAGGGATTTTGTCCCACTCCTCTTTGCAGATCTTCTCCGAGTCATTAAGGTTTCGAGGCTGACGTTTGGCAACTCGAACCTTCAGCTCCCTCCACAGATTTTCTATGGGATTAAGGACTGGAGACTGGCTAGGCCACTCCAGGACCTTAATGTGCTTCTTCTTGGGCCACTCCTTTGTTGCCTTGGCCATGTGTTTTGGGTCATTGTCCTGCTGGAATACCCATCCACGACCCATTTTCAATGCCCTGGCTGAGGGAAGGAGGTTCTCACGCAAGATTTGACGACACATGGCCCCGTCCATCGTCCCTTTGATGCTGTGAAGTTGTCCTGTCCCCTTAGCAGAAAAACACCCCCAAAGCATAATGTTTCCACCTCCATGTTTGACGGTGGGGATGGTGTTCTTGGGGTCATAGGCAGCATTCCTCCTCCTCCAAACACGGCGAGTTGAGTTGATGCCAAATAGCTCGATTTTGGTCTCATCTGACCACCACACTTTCATCCAGTTCTCCTCTGAATCATTCAGCTGTTCATTGGCAAACTTCAGAAGGGCTTGTATATGTGCTTTCTTGAGCAGGGGGACCTTGCGGGCGCTGCAGAATTTCAGTCCTTCATGGCGTAGTGTGTTACCAATTGTTTTCTTGGTGACTATGGTCCCAGCTGCCTTGAGATCATTGACAAGATCCTCCCGTGTAGTTCTGGGCTGATTCCTCACTGTTCTCATGATCATTGCAACTCCACAAGGTGAGATCTTGCATGGAGCCCCAGGCCGAGGGAGATTGACAGTTATTTTGTGTTTCTTCCATTTGCGAATAATCGCACCAACTGTTGTCACCTTCTCACCAAGCTGCTTGGCGATGGTCTTGTAGCCCATTCCAGCCTTGTGTAGGTCTACAATCTTGTCCATGACATCCTTGGAGAGCTCTTTAGTCTTGGCCATGGTGGAGAGATCGGAATCTGATTGATTGATTGCTTCTGTGGACAGGTGTCTTTTTTATACAGGTAACAAGCTGAGATTAGGAGCACTCCCTTTAAAAGTGTGCTCCTAATCTCAGCTCGTTACCTCTATAAAAGATACCTGGGAGCCAGAAATCGTTCTGATTGAGAGGGGGTCAAATACTTATTTCCCTCATTAAAATGCAAATCAATTTATAACATTTTTGACATGCGTTTTTCTGGATGTTTTTGTTGTTATTCTGTCTCTCACTGTTCAAATAAACCTACCATTAAAATTATAGACTGTTAATTTCCTTGTCAGTGGGCAAACGTACAAAATCAGCAGGGGATCAAATACTTTTTTCCCTCACTGTAGAGACAGTGTGAGAATTTGAACAGGTCTTCCTAGCTAAAAGATGTTTAAAAAAATGTAACCATGTATGTGTGTCACAATAAACATTTAGCTATCTGCCATTACAAGCCCATGTGCTGTATGCCCTCAGTCCTAGACTAGTCAAATCACAGCTGTGGTAGTACTCATCACAGTAATATACACTGCTCAAAAAAATAAAGGGAACACTTAAACAACACATCCTAGATCTGAATGAATGAAATAATCTTATTAAATACTTTTTTCTTTACATAGTTGAATGTGCTGACAACAAAATAACACAAAAATTATCAATGGAAATCAAATGTATCAACCCATGGAGGTCTGGATTTGGAGTCACCCTCAAAATTAAAGTGGAAAACCACACTACAGGCTGATCCAACTTTGATGTAATGTCCTTAAAACAAGTCAAAATGAGGCTCAGTAGTGTGTGTGGCCTCCACGTGCCTGTATGACCTCCCTACAACGCCTGGGCATGCTCCTGATGAGGTGGCGGATGGTCTCCTGAGGTATCTCCTCCCAGACCTGGACTAAAGCATCCGCCAACTCCTGGACAGTCTGTGGTGCAACGTGGCGTTGGTGGATGGAGCGAGACATGATGTCCCAGATGTGCTCAATTGGATTCAGGTCTGGGGAACGGGCGGGCCAGTCCATAGCAACAATGCCTTCCTCTTGCAGGAACTGCTGACACACTCCAGCCACATGAGGTCTAGCATTGTCTTGCATTAGGAGGAACCCAGGGCCAACCGCACCTGCATATGGTCTCACAAGGGGTCTGAGGATCTCATCTCGGTACCTAATGACAGTCAGGCTACCTCTGGCGAGCACATGGAGGGCTGTGCGGCCCCCCAAAGAAATGCCACCCCACACCATGACTGACCCACCGCCAAACCGGTCATGCTGGAGGATGTTGCAGGCAGCAGAACGTTCTCCACGGCGTCTCCAGACTCTGTCACGTCTGTCACATGTGCTCAGTGTGAATCTGCTTTCATCTGTGAAGAGCACAGGGCGCCAGTGGCGAATTTGCCAATCTTGGTGTTCTCTGGCAAATGCCAAACGTCCTGCACGGTGTTGGGCTGTAAGCACAACCCCCACCTGTGGACGTCGGGCCCTCATACCACCCTCATGGAGTCTGTTTCTGACCATTTGAGCAGACACATGCACATTTGTGGCCTACTGGAGGTCATTTTGCAGGGCTCTGGCAGTGCTCCTCCTGCTCCTCCTTGCACAAAGGCGGAGGTAGCGGTCCTGCTGCTGGGTTGTTGCCCTCCTACGGCCTCCTCCACGTCTCGTGATGTACTGGCCTGTCTCCTGGTAGCGCCTCCATGCTCTGGACACTACGCTGACAGACACAGCAAACCTTCTTGCGACAGCTCGCATTGATGTGCCATCCTGGATGAGCTGCACTACCTGAGCCACTTGTGTGGGTTGTAGACTCCGTCTCATGCTACCACTAGAGTGAAAGCACCGCCAGCATTCAAAAGTGACCAAAACATCAGCCAGGAAGCATAGGAACTGAGAAGTGGTCTGTGGTCACCACCTGCAGAACCACTTCTTTATTGGGGGTGTCTTGCTAATTGCCTATAATTTCCACCTGTTGTCTATTGCATTTGCACAACAGCATGTGAAATTTATTGTCAATCAGTGTTGCTTCCTAAGTGGACAGTTTGATTTCACAGAAGTGTGATTGACTTGGAGTCACATTGTGTTGTTTAAGTGTTCCCTTTTATTTTTTTGAGCAGTGTATTTCTCTCTCAGGAGATTTCTCTTGAGCCTTTCCTCTGACAAGGAGTGCAGTGTCCTTCTGAAGGGCTACAGAGAGAGACAAGGTACACGTGTGGCTGACGCCAGCTGTCTAAGAGTACTCACTCACTGCAGCCCCAGTGCCTGTTCTTACCTGTTCATTGTGGATGACAACCAGCTTGACAATCATGATGTTGATGAGGTTTCCTACACTAGGGTCCCTGTAGACCGCAGCAACCTGTAACAAGATGAACACACAGACAAGAAATGCAAACCTACACTTTGGTTGGAACCGGTTCAGGGAAACAGAACCGAAAACTAGAAAATAACACAATTATTTGAGGAACAGAATCAGAACCGGAAACGAAAGTGATCTATACTGTTCCGGAACAGAACCGTTATTTTAAAAGCATGGGAACCGGTTAATAACGTTATTTTACGTTCCGGGCATTTCTTTCCAGTACCACAAAAATCACAACAAAGTGCTTATACAAAGCCCTCACTTTGTCACTCAGAAACTTATTCCAGCGTCTGCCTGTCAGCTGGAAATCTTTGCCAGTGTGTGTGTAGGCTACCTGCCTCTCCCCCTTACTGTTACTGTAGCCTACTGATGACGTTACAAGCGTAATTCAGAAATTAGGGAGAGAGATGTTTAATTAGAGAAGAATGGATTAACTTTTACAATGCTGGATACTATAGTTATCACATTGGATTTATTAACTACAAAAAGGTAAGATGTGTTTTTAATTCTAGCGCTGCTCTGCACACACAAGCTTGTTAGCTAACTAGCTAACTAACGTTTGCTCTGGTCCAACGTTAACCAACTCTCGGAAATTCAAAGACATTCAAAGTTCCTCCATAGAAGCCGCTCCTCCATAGGTATAATTATGTGGGCCTAATTCAGATAATGCATGTCATAACAAGATGCCCAGCACTTCAAGCCAAACTTCCTCCCCCCTCTCTCGCTCTATCCCCACCCGCAAAATTTCAATCGCATCTCATGCCCTACACGGGCCTGCCCATAATGACTGGCAGCACAGTGTGTGTGTTTGTCTTTCATTATGATTAAACCATGCTGTTACGGCAAAATACAATTTGCTCTTTATTACCATAGCAAGCTGCTCTATCCGCACTGATTGGTGAAGAGGTTTAAAAAGGTACAGAAAGGAGCGATATAAAGCAGTATTTTGGGGGGTTCGAACCGGTTCAGAACTTCATTTTGCTGGTCGGAACAGTGGAACAGAACAAAAAATATAAATATTTCGATCCCAACCCCTGCTACTAATGGTACAAAAACAGACAGTAGGTACATTTGAACGAATGCAAATACAAGTATTACTTTGAATGAGAGTAGGTCTAGAGACCACGTTCCGAAGGCTTGACTAAAATAACATAAAAAGTTGAAGAAAGGAAGGAAGGAATGCATATCGTTATTCCTTCAGGGTAAGTTTAATCAACAGTGTATTACACACAATTACAATTCCTCTAAGGACCCTCTGGTGGTGGGGGAGGGGGGGGCTTGGCTTGTGTGTATCCCACCACTCCTTGGACAAAACAGTTTTTTTGTGTCTTTCTTTTGGTTCAGCCCTGTCAGTGTGGGTCACTATTCTCCTGGGGCTATCCTAACAGAGCTCTGACAGGAACTCATTAGCCCTCTATAAACATTTAGCTGGTCAGAGCATGGGGGGGCTGCGTGAAGCAGATTCCTCCTCTGGTAAACAGACAGACAGGCAGGCAGACAGACAGGCAGGCAGGCAGGCAGGCAGGCAGGCAGGCAGGCTGGCAGGCAGCAGGCAAGCAGACAGACAGGCAGGCAGGCAGGCAGGCAGGCAGGCAGGCAGGCAGGCAGGCAGGCAGGCAGGCAGGCAGGCAGGCAGGCAGGCAGGCAGGCAGGCAGGCAGACAGGCAGGCAGACAGGCAGGCAGACAGGCAGGCAGGCAGGCAGGCAGGCAGGCAGGCAGGCAGGCAGGCAGGCAGGCAGACAGGCAGGCAGACAGGCAGACAGACAGGCAGGCAGGCAGACAGGCAGGCAGGCAGGCAGGCAGTGTGCTGTAGCCTAAACTACCGCGTCACCCTGGTAAATAGATGGACAGACAATCAAGGCTCTGATACACTGGAGGAATGTGTCTGTGGTCAGTGTAAACACTATGACATCATATCAGAGGGCTAGCAGCCCACCCATTAGCCCCCTGCTCCACTAACAGGCACAACGTGCTGTCACCATGACGATGACGGATCAGTCTTGGCTGATTTCCTTATTCTTGTTTGAAATACAGGGTCTGGTTTCTGTTGGTTTGGCCGGAGCTTGGTAGGTCTTTTAGATTGAGAGGCCCTGACAGGTTTTTCTTCGACAGCTGTGTACACGTGTGTGTGTATGTGTGAAAATGAGTGTGTGTACCGTCAAAAGGTCCTTCCTATTGTCTTTAAAGGGCTAAAGCAGAGGCCCATATGTTTCCAAATAGGTACAGTATTTTACAGTGTTGTAGTTTGGTTGAGGTAACACCAGCATATGGTAACATTAACCAAACTAAAAGCCAATAAGATCACAAAGACCTGAGTCAGCCCAGTGAACCCCCTTATGAGTCACATCTCTGACTTTGCAGGACAGCTTGCTATCAGGGTAACATTGGGAATAGAAAACTGGCTATAAGCATTTCTGTCTTGCATTTTTAGGGATCCAACAGCTAAACAAAAATCCCAGTTGCATCGTTTGGCAGGATTCATCAGGTCAAGGCTTACAGGGTGTTGTGTCACCTACAATAATCACTGTTGTGTCTCCCAATTTGTTGAATAGATATTCTATTACACTGTAATGGTCTGTTTGGGTTTTGCCCATTTTTAGTTTTCACCCATGTAGATAGATGTTTTCCCATGAACTATTTTTCACACAAAGGAGATGCATCCTGGAAATAGGGTACAGTAGAAAGTCAACCAAACTACCAACCAGATACCAATATTATTAACCACTTTAACTTATATAGAAGTGAACGACTTTGTATCACGGAAAAGTCAAACTTCCTGAAACCATAGTAAGTTACACCACAGAACAAATCTAGATTCAACAATGTATTTTTCTTTATACTTTTTTAAAAACAATATTTTACTTACTACTGACATGATTGTTAGGATGTAGTGCTCGAGGTTGCGTCCGTGGTGGTGCACCATCTTGACGTCAGCAGTCAGCATCAGTTCCACATAGCGGGGGTATGAGAGGAACCTCTTCTGCCTGGACGAGGCTCTGTGATTGGGGTCTGAGGAGTTGGAGGTGGTGGAGTGGTGGTCTATGTGGTGTTCTGTCGTGTGGCCTATCTCGTAGCCTGTGTGGTGGATGCCCATTCTGTCTCTGAGGGAATCCAGCTCTTCTACCATACTCCTGATGTTCTGAAGATTGACAACTGGCCTTTCCGATCCTTCCCCTGTCAGGAAATAGAACGTCATTTAACAGAGTAGCATAATCAGGTTAAAGGTAATATGGTAATAAGAACGGACTTAGACTTGAGTGTAAATAGTAGAACAATCCATTATTGTAGAAGACAAGAAACCCTCATTCCAGACATCCACCTTTTTATGTTCCATCTACAGGCATTTCCTACCGCAGTATGGAACGTCTAAAGCTAAAGAGAAAGGCCTCAGCTTAGCCACATTCCAAAGACCTAACCCCCACATACTGGACTTTCAAGACAACCTTCCATAAATTACTGTGTCATTCCAAGGTTCTGAAGAACAGTTGTAACAATGACACAGGGTCAGTAACAGAGGTTTTAGGTTAAGAGTCTGAAGGTCAGACAAGCTGCACTCCTGTGCCTCAAATTCAACTTATACAAACACAGAAAACCATCTAATAAGGCTATTATTAACGACACACTATTCCCACTGCTGCCTCTTCATTCACCAGCGGCTTGCCACAGTGTGTACTCCACATTGGAACATGAATTTAAACCACTTCATTTCAACCACCGCCCGTATATCACAGCAAATTAAAGGGTCACTGTGGGAGGACAAGTTGAACAGAACAGTACAGCTGAAATGCAACAGATACTAGATTCAGACTTTCAGGCGAACACAGTTATATTCAGGCCAAAGGAGAAAGCACTTAACAACCTTAAAAGGTAAAAAGGGTACGGAAAGTAGCAATATTCTCTGGCTACATGTAGGCCATTGGCATCACTTCCAATCCTTCCCTCTGTTAGATGGACCTCAGATGAACTGCACGTGTAGCACAGCAGAGCTCAGTCAGTGAGAGATGAGAGATGGATTCCTTTACCGTTATGACAGGGATGGGAAAAGAAAGAGGATAAGAGGAACTGAAGGGAAAGAAAGAAAGAAAGAAAGAGAGACAGAGAGAGCGAGAGAGACACAGAGAGAAAGAGGGAGAGAGAAAGACAGACAGACAGAACGAGAGACAGACAGAGAAAGAGAGGGAGAGAGAGAGAGAGAAAGACAGAGAGTGTGAGAGCGAGAGAGGGGGGGGGGGTAAGAGAGAGAGGAAGATGGGAATGCACGCCAACTTGTGGAGGTGAAGGAAGGGAGAGGGCTTAACTACGTGTGTTTATGTTGTCTGTGCACAGGGTAGTTTCCTTCCTGGGACACTATGCTGTTGAAGCACAACAGCACCAGGGAAGAGGAGCCAGGGTCAGGGCTATTGGACTGGGGTGGGGGGCTTCCACTTTCCGCTCAGGCAAGCTCCTGTCAGCCCATAAGAGCTGCAGAGGGTCTTACACACTCCAACCCCACCCTACCCAACTCTTGGAACAACGGACGTTATCCATCTCTGTCAATGAGAACGTCATACTACGAAAGAGAATACTACTACATTATCAAAAAGCATTCAAAAACAGAGAGAGAAAAGAGAGCATGCCTGACATGCTGCAATGTGTTGGTCCAAGATCAACAATGTATCTGGATGGATTAGGTTTGGCTATGGTGAAAAGTACACCATGCATCAGGCTGTCCGGATCTGCGCTGATGTATAGCCACATGTGCTGAGATGTACGACTCTTAACAGAAAGAGGGCTTGTAATATTTCTGCTGCCTCACAGCTGAGGAAAGACAGATCTCTATGGTCGTACAAACCGTCCTATCAGTAGCTGGTGCTGGGAAGAGAGAGGAAGACTGTAGAAGACTGTGATCCATGCAGCTGCCAGAATTACCAGTTAACCGTCAATACTAAATTGCGATCATGCTGTTTTCCTGCACTGAGGTTACTGAGACTGCATCCAAATAAAGTGTACTTTTGTAAAGTGTCTGCAAGGCAGCCATGGCCATAGACAATATACTGCACAACACACATCATTTCCTATCAACTTACTTTAGTTTCCCGATGAGGGGGTTACTTCATGTACTCTCTTTACCTCTGGGTAACCCTGTCATAGTGAGTGTCCCTTTGTAGTCTGAGCCCCCAGCAGCTCTCTATAAAACCAACAAGACAGAAAGAGGACGTAGAGAAGGTTTAAAAGAGGGAGAGAAAAAGAAAAGGAAAACTCCATTCATTCAAGTGATGCCCCCGGCGCGGCGGGCACACGAGATGGAGGGTGACAGCCTGGCACAACGGCACACAGCTCCTGCCGCCGTGAGGCCCCGCCCTGTGCCAGCGCCAGGCTCCCGCATTAGCACCAAGCCCATCAGCCGGTGCCCATTGCCCATCCCCACAGCAGCTGAGGTTGCTGGGCCGTGGCGAAGGCTCCTTTTTCCAGGAATTAGAGCGAAAGAGAGCTCCAGAACGCCAACAGACAGATTTCTCACTGCAGTGCAGAGCAGAGCGGACAATCCCACATTGAGGAAAAGAAGAAAGGGTAGACTAGAGGTTCTGATGTTTCTATGTAGTGAAGTCTGAGTGAGAAGTGAATAGTGTGGAAGTGGAGTACAGTAAGTTGAGGAGGAGGAGGAAATATGGCCTTTAAAGCTACTCACATCCTTTCCGAAATCGTCTTACGGTCAAATCCCCCCCCCCCCCCCCCCCCCCTCTCTCACTGGCCGATGAGCTGCTACTTACACCGTGAGAAGAATAGTTTGGGCTGACCCTGGCTCGACTCACTCACAGGACTGAAAGACATTTCTGACAGACCCAAACATAGGGGAATTTATCTCTCAATGAAAAAAGTATAAAATAGATATTTATCAAACATTTATTAAACCACTTCTACCAGATGTTTATAAAACTTAATCAAGCACTACTGTAGTAACTCATACTAGCAATACAGCCCAACACATAACATATTTCTGCAACGCGTGCCATCTATAAAGACAGTGTTTTTGTTGGCACAAGAGTACACATAGCTGCGAAATCAAAAGCATTTTCTGGTACAATGCCTATACAGAGCAGTAAACGGTGGGGGTTATAATCACAATAATGTTTCATGACTTAAGGTTAACTATGCAGAAATAACTCCACCATTTCCTGGTTGCTAAAATTCTACTAGTTCGCCTAATTTCAGTTTATGTGACAAAACAAGCAAGTATAGTGTAAAGAATCATTGTAATAATAATAATAATAATATGCCATTTAGCAGACGCTTTTATCCAAAGCGACTTACAGTCATGTGTGCATACATTTTTACGTATGGGGTGGTCCCGGGATCGAACCCACTACCCTGGCATTACAAGCACCATGCTCTACCAATTGAGGTACAGAGGACCACATATTGTACCATCTAAAGCACTGTGAAATATATTTTCCATTATCAAAAATATTGTCTTTTCAGCTGTTTGAAGCTGTGGACAAAACCGAAAGTAAAAAAAAAAAAAACGTACGAATGGGAAGCATAGAAATAGTGCACATAGAACAGCTCTACCGCTTCTTAGACTTGCTTTCAATGAGAATGACAGATCTATAACTAAAATGTCTATGTGAATTAGGTTGGGTCGCCCAAAAAGTTACATATTGCAGCTTCAATAACTACAGTGAAATGTAAATAATGTTTATGTATTCTTCTAATAAGACGTTTATTACCCACTCACACAAACACAATCGCAGACAGGGCGTTTGAGAACAATAACCACAAAACAATTACGGTACCCATATATATATATATATATATATATATATATATATATATATATATATACACACAGTGGGGAGAACAAGTATTTGATACACTGCCGATTTTGCAGGTTTTCCTACTTACAAAGCATGTAGAGGGCTGTAATTTTTATCATAGGTACACTTCAACTGTGAGAGATGGAATCTAAAACAAAAATCCAGAAAATCACATTGTATAATCTTTAAGTAATTAATTTGCATTTTATTGCATGAAAAAAGTATTTGATACATCAGAGAAGCAGAACTTAATATTTGGTACAGAAACCTTTCTTTGCAATTACAGAGATCATACGTTTCCTGTAGGTCTTGACCAGGTTTGCACACACTGCAGCAGGGATTTTGGACCACTCCTCCATACAGACCTTCTCCAGATCCTTCAGGTTTCGGGGCTGTCGCTGGGCAATACGGACTTTCAGCTCCCTCCAAAGTTTTTCTATTGGGTTCAGGTCTGGAGACTGGCTAGGCCACTCCAGGACCTTGAGATGCTTCTTACGGAGCCACTCCTTAGTTGCCCTGGCTGTGTGTTTCGGGTCGTTGTCATGCTGGAAGACCCAGCCACGACCCATCTTCAATGCTCTTACTGAGGGAAGGAGGTTGTTGGCCAAGATCTCGCGATACATGGCCCCATCCATCCTCCCCTCAATATGGTGCAGTCGTCCTGTCCCCTTTGCAGAAAAGCATCCCCAAAGAATGATGTTTCCACCTCCATGCTTCACGGTTGGGATGGTGTTCTTGGGGTTGTACTCATCCCTCTTCTTCCTCCAAACACGGCGAGTGGAGTTTAGACCAAAAAGCTCTATTTTTGTCTCATCAGACCACACAACCTTCTCCCATTCCTCCTCTGGATCATCCAGATGGTCATTGGCAAATTTCAGACGGGCCTGGACATGCGCTGGCATAAGCAGGGGGACCTTGCATGCACTGCAGGATTTTAATCCATGACGACGTAGTGTTTTACTAATGGTTTTCTTTGAGACTGTGGTCCCAGCTCTCTTCAGGTCATTGACCAGGTCCTGCCGTGTTGTTCTGGGCTGATCCCTCACCTTCCTCATGATCATTGATGCCCCACGAGGTGAGATCTTGCATGGAGTCCCCAGACCGAGGGTGATTGACCGTCATCTTGAACTTCTTCCATTTTCTAATAATTGCGCCAACAGTTGTTGCCTTCTCACCAAGCTGCTTGCCTATTGTCCTGTAGCCCATCCCAGCCTTGTGCAGATCTACAATTGTATCCCTGATGTCCTTACACAGCTCTCTGGTCTTGGCCATTGTGGAGAGGTTGGAGTCTGTTTGATTGCGTGTGTGGACAGGTGTCTTTTATACAGGTAACGAGTTCAAACAGGTGCAGTTAATACAGGTAATGAGTGGAGAACAGGAGGGCTTCTTAAAGAAAAACTAACAGGTCTGTGAGAGCCGGAATTCTTACTGGTTGGTAGGTGATCAAATATTATGTCATGCAATAAAAAGCAAATTAATTAATTAAAAATCATACAATGTGATTTTCTGGATTTTTGTTTTAGATTCCGTCTCTCACAGTTGAAGTGTACCTATGATAAAAAATTACAGACCTCTACATGCTTTGTAAGTAGGAAAACCTGCAAAATCGGCAGTGTACTTGTTCTCCCCACTGTGTATATATATATATATATATATATATATACAGTGAGGGAAAAAAGTATTTGATCCCCTGCTGATTTTGTACGTTTGCCCACTGACAAAGACATGATCAGTCTATAATTTTAATGGTAGGTTTATTTGAACAGTGAGAGACAGAATACCAACAAAAAAATCCAGAAAAACGCATGTCAAAAATGTAATAAATTGATTTGCATTTTAATGAGGGAAATAAGTATTTGACCCCTCTGCAAAACATGACTTAGTACTTGGTGGCAAAACCCTTGTTGGCAATCACAGAGGTCAGACGTTTCTTGTAGTTGGCCACCAGGTTTGCACACATCTCAGGAGGGATTTTGTCCCACTCCTCTTTGCAGATCTTCTCCAAGTTATTAAGGTTTCGAGGCTGATGTTTGGCAACTCGAACCTTCAGCTCCCTCCACAGATTTTCTATGGGATTAAGGTCTGGAGACTGGCTAGGCCACTCCAGGACCTTAATGTGCTTCTTCTTGAGCCACTCCTTTGTTGCCTTGGCCGTGTGTTTTGGGTCATTGTCATGCTGGAATACCCATCCACGACTCATTTTCAATGCCCTGGCTGAGGGAAGGAGGTTCTCACCCAAGATTTGACTGTACATTGCCCCGTCCATCGTCCTTTTGATGCGGTGAAGTTTTCCTGTCCCCTTAGCAGAAAAACACCCCCAAAGCATAATGTTTCCACCTCCATGTTTGACGGTGGGGATGGTGTTCTTGGGGTCATAGGCAGCATTCCTCCTCCTCCAAACACGGTGAGTTGAGTTGATGCCAAAGAGCTCGATTTTGGTCTCATCTGACCACAACACTTTCATCCAGTTCTCCTCTGAATCATTCAGATGTTCATTGGCAAACTTCAGACGGGCCTGTATATGTGCTTTCTTGAGCAGGGGGACCTTGCGGGCACTGCAGGATTTCAGTCCTTCACGGCGTAGTGTGTTACCAATTGTTTTCTTGGTGACTATGGTCCCAGCTGCCTTGAGATCATTGACAAAATCCTCCCGTGTAGTTCTGGGCTGATTCCTCACCGTTCTCATGATCATTGCAACTCCACGAGGTGAAATCTTGCATGGAGCCCCAGGCCGGGGGAGATTGACAGTTCTTTTGTGTTTCTTCCATTTGCGAATAATCGCACCAACTGTTGTCACCTTCTCACCAAACTGCTTGGCGATGGTCTTGTAGCCCATTCCAGCCTTGTGTAGGTCTACAATCTTGTTCCTGACATCCTTGGAGAGCTCTTTGGTCTTGGCCATGGTGGAGAGTTTGGAATCTGATTGATTGATTGCGTCTGTGGACAGGTGTCTTTTATATAGGTATCAAACTGAGATTAGGAGCACTCCCTTTAAGAGTGTGCTCCTAATCTCAGCTCGTTACCTGTATAAAAGACACCTGGGAGCCAGAAATCTTTCTGATTGAGAGGGAGTCAAATACTTATTTCCCTCATTAAAATGCAAATCAATTTATAACATTTTTGACATGTGTTTTTCTGGATTTTTTCGTTGTTATTCTGTCTCTCACTGTTCAAATAAACCTACCATTAAAATTATAGACTGATCATTTCTTTGTCAGTGGGCAAACGTACAAAATCAGCAGGGGATCAAATACTTTTTTCCCTCACTATATATATATATATTTTTTTTTTTTTTTTTTTTTTTTTTTTTTTTCGTTTTTTGTTTACAATCCAAGAAACATTAAAGCAATAGTACATCACTTCAATGATTGATACCAACGTGCTTAATTTTTTATATATATTTTTTACAACAAATGTTTGTTGACATCATTCAAGCATGATGTCAACAAACATGACGTTGTCCTCCTCTTCAGCTGGAATAAAGTCCATTTATTTAATACTCTGATGCACTATGACCTATTTTCACTCTCGTTCAGAAGTATCAATGCCAAAAGCCCAACAATAGGGAACACTGATTTCATTGTTGAGCTAATTAACATTCTTTTACAATAACCCACTGGGAGAGAAAGAGCTCTGTCACTTGGGTGCCAATTACGGAGACAGTGTTGTCCGCAGCATTGTGTAGCTGTAGTGTACCTTACAGCAAGCATAGATCATGCCTGGGTCAATCAAGGGTCACGTTGTTATGGTCGTTTAACAGACAGTACAACATCCTCTAGACCCACACAGACCTACAATTAAGAGTAATTCTGTGGCTGCTGGCTAGACAGAGAAAAGAGGGAACTAATTGTTGCTGTAGAACGAAAGCTTTTAAACATGGCTGCATGACTCTTGACCATTATAAAGAATGATAGCAGCTGTCACACACACAGTCTGCCCACAGTGGTGTCAGTGTTACTGTCCAGATCCATGTTAAAAGCTGTAGGGTGGCCAAGGGGTTAAGGGTTAAAGTTCAGGAACCAGACTTTCTCAACAGGGAATCCCATCCCTCTGCTCTGGAGTTCAACAACAATGATGCAACAGCTAGGTTGTCCTTCAATGTAACCATCTCTACCTCACGCGATAAGACCAGTGAAAGCTGCCAGATTCCTTGTTTCTCTCGTGTTGAGGAGAGAGAGAAGAGATGATGGTCGGTTCATGTCTGTCTGCTTTGTTCTTTGGGGAGAGTGAGTGCCCCTCTGAGATGTACAGTAAAGATGGGCTGCAGAAAACCAAACTGTCATAAAACCACGACACTGAATCAATTACCCCAAAGCACTTGGCATGTACTTTCCTTTCAGCTTTTAATGAGGACATGAGTGGTCTTAAAATGATGGGAATTACATTGTCCCCCTGTGTCTGAACTGTAAAACTTTTGACTGAGTTACATTTAAAAATGTTTGTCATTTAGCAGACGCTCTTATCCAGAGCGACTTCACAGTTAGTGAGTGCATACATTTTCATACTGGCCCCCCGTGGGAAACGAACCCACAACCCTGCCATTGCAAGCGCCATGCTCTACCAACTGAGCTATATAAGGAAATCAGTCAATTGAAATAAATAAATTAGGCCCTAATCTATGGATTTCACATGACTGGGAATACAGATATGCATCTGTTGGTCACAGATACCTTTAAAAAAAGTTTGGGGCGTGAATCAGAAAACCAGTCAGTATCTGGTGTGACCACCATTTGCCTCATGCAGCGCAACACATCTTCTTCACATAGAGTTGATCAGGCTGTTAATGTGGCCTGTGGAATGTTGTCCCATTCCTCTTCAACGGCTGTGCGAAGTTGCTGGATATTGGCGGGAACTGGAACACGCTGTCGAACACGTCGATCCAGAGCATCCCAAACATGCTCAATGGGTGACATGTCTGGTGAGTATGCAGGCCATGGAAGAACTGGGACATTTTCAGCTTCCAGGAATTGTGTACAGATTCTTGCGACATGGGGCTGTGCATTATCATGCTGAAACATGAGGTGATGGTGGCGGATGAATGGCACGACAATGGGCCTCAGGATCTTGTCACGATATCTCTGTGCATTCAAATTTCTATCGATAAAATGCAATTGTGTTCGTTGTCCATAGCTTACGCCTGCCCATACCATAACCCCACCGCCACCATGGGGCACTCTGTTCACAATGTTGACATTAGCAAACCGCTCGCCCACACAACGCCATCCGCACTGTCTGCCATCTGCCTGGTACAGTTGAAACCGGGATTCATCTGTGAAGAGCACACTTCTCCAGCATGCCAGTGGCCATTGAAGGTGAGCATTTTCCCACTGACGTCGGCTACGACTCCGAACTGCAGTCAGGTCAAGACCCTGGTGAGGAAGACAAGCATGCCGATGAGCTTCCCTGAGATGGTTTCTGACAGTTTGTGCAGAAATTCTTCGGTTGTGCAAACCCACAGTTTCATCAGCTGTCCGGGTGACTGGTCTCAGACGATCCCGCAAGTGAAGAAGCCGGATGTGGAGGTCCTGGGCTGGCGTGGTTACATGTGGTCTGCGGTTGTGAGGCCGGTTGGACGTACTGCCAAATTCTCTCAAATGTAATTGGAGGTGGCTTATGGTAGAGAAATGAACAATCAATTCTCTGGCAACAGCTCTAGTGGACATTCCTGCAGTCAGCATGCCAATTGCACGCTCCCTCAAAACTTGAGACATCTGTGGCATTGTGTTGTTTGACAAAACTGCACATTTTACAGTGGCCATTTATTGTGCCCAGCACAAGGTGCACCTGTGTAATGATCATGCTGTTTAATCAGTTTCTTGATATGCCACACCTGTCAGGACGGATTAGTCCCGTGTAGCTCAGTTGGTAGAGCATGGCGTTTGCAACGGCAGGGTTGTGGGTTCGTTTCCCACGGGAGACCAGTATGAGAAAAAAAAAGAAAAAAAGATTGGATAAAGTGTCTGCTAAATGACTAAAATGTAATTATCTTGGCAAAGGAGAAATACTCACTAACAGGGATGTAAACACATTTACGCAGACATTTTTTGCGAAATAAGCTTTCTGTGCATATGGAAAATTTCTGTGATCTTTTATTTCAGCTCATGAAACATGGGACCAACACTTTACATGTTGCATTTATATTTTTGTTCAGTATACTGTAGATGACAGCAGCAACATCTTGGATTCCACTCTCCATCTACAGTATATTCCATTGGTCTCAATTCCCCAAGATCAAATAACCTCCATAGACGTTCCATACATAAGAGTAACATAATCATTTCAACCACTTGTTTTGGTGCCTATAAGTATTCAGATGGACAGAGGAGCTCCAGGCGATGACACTGCACATCTCTGGCCTGCAACTGTCTTCCCATCAGGGTCAGTGGTGTCCCAGCCTGCCCATGGCCACAATGTGGGGACCATGTCCCTCACCTGTCAGCACCATACATCTGACTGATAACACTATAACAGAACATTGCTGCCCATCTGTTCAGACAGAATACCCAGACAGACAGACAGACAGACAGTAGAACTCTGCAGAAAATAGCTGTTGGAATTTGTCACTGGAACTCTGAGACAGAGACAACACACTGGGTTGGGTTCACTGGGGCTGTGCTATGGCCACATGACAACCATTAGACTGCTGTCTGTCTGTCTATCTTTCTATATCTGTCTGTCTAGTGTGTATAGCTGATCCAACACCCAGACAATCTGTTATCGTCCAGTCAGTCAGATGACCATGTGGAAGAATGATTAGCTGCTTATGTCACTCTCTCCATAAAGAACACCAGAGCAATGAGGGCTCTATTATTGCTGAAGTGCAGAACTGGAGTTCATACTAACTATAAGTTACTTACATTTGGTTCACAATAACTATTGCCTAGGTCGGAGAAGCATCATAGTACTTCATACCTAAATCGGTTATAGACAGAGGCACAATGTTCACCAAACGTATCATTAAATATGTCTGATTTTATTATTCCCCGAGTGCCCCAGTTACAACACAGTCCAACTTCTCCTGTAGATTTATAGTTGGAGTTGAGTTTGAAAACTCTGACGTGGATTGAGGGGCTGCTACAGATAGAGACACAGGTGTAGAGGGAGGAGGAAGGCAGAGCGAGAGCCTGAGAAACGTCCGGGGCCAGTGCCAGGGTTTAGAGCGAGACCGGCACATGCAGCACCGACCAGGCTAGGCATACAGATGAAGACAGAAACTTGCTCCTCTCCTATCCTCTTCTCGCTCAGCGATTCCAACTCCTCAGAGAGCAGCAACAGAGACAACAAACACTCAGTCAAAAAGATAAGCCTAACAGAGTTCACACACACACAGTCTGTGCATACACGCACACTTCGCACGCACACGACATGAACAAAGCAAAACATTTTACACACTCACTCCTCCAGATACACATTTCAGGATGAGTAACAATAGCGGCTCCATGGTGTGTTGGGGGCCTAAGCCCTATGGAGCCAGATTACACCCCAAAGCCCCCATACCTCTGCGAGCCAGACCCTAAAGGTGAGAGAGGTCATTTGACCGATAACCATCCATCCATCGCACCATGCCTACCTCTACTGAGCCCATTCCCAACACGGCATGAGAGACAAAAACAACTTCAACTCAGTGTAAACAGTTGAAATGGAGGGCCGAACACCTCTAGGGAAGAGCCCATGGTCAGATCCCATCCAATGAGTGACTCCAAACAAAAGGTGACACAAGCGCGAGGTCCCACACAACACACAACAAGCGCTTCCATTCACATACATGAAAGCGCTAAAGAACAGGGAGCGATTCAAGTCAGCTAGTTCAATACCAGATCGCACGGGGGACGGCATGAGAGAGCATTTTCCATGTAAATGAACCCTTTGTCAAAAAAAGCTGAGACTTGCATTTGGACCCACGTCATTTTTACACTGTGGGCCGGGCAATGGGTGATTCCCATTAAAATATTTGTGTTTAGAGGTCAGGGGCAAAGGGACATGCAGCGATGCTTTGTACCTGGGAGGGATAGCCACAGGCCCACAGCCAACCAACTCTGTATTCTCCAGCAGAAACAACTCGGTCCTTCTCCATAATCACACTAATTGTTCCATTCACCGCATCCCAGTCCTAGTACCAGGGACCAGTCATGCCTGCAATATAGTAAGCACATCATGAGAGAGAAACATACAACTACAACCTCTTATTACCTTCAAAGCTCTCATACATGTCAGCCCTGCAGAGACCTAGTGAGCAGAGTGAGAATAGTCTTCCCCTATCCTGGGCCACCCCCATCCTTCTGACTATCTCCATCTCAGGACGACCGACACAGAGATTCACATGCAAGCTTTAGCCCACAGGCAGACAGACAGATAACCCCCAGAATGTTGCATTAAGGGGCCGACGCAGTCACAGTGTTGTTGTGATTTCAGTCTGACAAGCTCCTTTGGAGAACCTTTAAAACCCATGCTGGCATAATGAGGAACATTTGCCTTTTAAACTTAAGAACACTCGCCTCTTAATCGCCCACTCAACAGCTCCCAACTTCACAGTTATCAAAAACAGTGGCAAAACCACCCAAGATGGCTTAGTGTGCATATAGACCTGTAGTCCTAGACATGGCTGCTCGGTGCCTAGTGAACAGTAGTAGGGAAGAACATCTAGGTCATGTTAGTGTCAAGGAAAGTTATGTATCTGAACTTGAATTTACTAAAATATTGAGTTTGAGAACTATTTTGTTGTAAATCAAATGGAAAGCATGAGTCATGGAATACTGTAGTGCTCTAACAACAATGCATGAACACACACAGCAAGGAAAACAGCCAATGACAACTTTATTACTGTGTATTGACTGAGGATGAAACAACAGAAACCCTATCTTCCCTAAGAGGTTGCACTTTAAAATACCTTATTATCATAGTAGCATTTTCAACACTCCCCTGTTGGTGACGGCATATGAGAGGAAAAACTCTTAGATTTCTGTTGAAAGACCAAAGACGACTGCAGAATGGTGGACACAAGGAGCTCTTCAACTTCATCTTTGTTCACGTTATCTCAGTGTAAACATACTGTTCTGCTTCTACAGTATCAACACATTTTACCAAGGTGAGCAGATGTAGGACTTCACCAACTATGGAAACCAACAGGACTACACCAACTATGGAAACCAACAGGACTACACCAACTATGGAAACCAACAGGACTACACCAACTATGGAAACCAACAGGACTACACCAACTATAGAAACCAACAGGACTACACCAACTATGGAAACCAACAGGACTACACCAACTATAGAAACCAACAGGACTACACCAACTATGGAAACCAACAGGACTACACCAACTATGGAAACCAACAGGACTACACCAACTATGGAAACCAACAGGACTACACCAACTATGGAAACCAACAGGACTATACCAACTATGGAAACCAGCAGGACTATACCAACTATGGAAACCAGCAGGACTACACCAACTATGGAAACCAACAGGACTACACCAACTATGGAAACCAACAGGACTCCACCAACTATGGAAATTCTTAAACAACTGAAAGTAAACACATGCAGTATACCATGATAGGCCTATAGTCTTCTTCTATAGCATTCCTGAACTAGCGTGTCTGGCATTTCCATGTGTGTTCTGTTCTGACCAACTGGGATAGTTGGCAGGTTTTGAGCCTCCTTGCAACTCCCCAACCCCCCAAAGCCTCAAAACCCTTCAGCCCCCTCAGCAATCAAACTCTGACTAGCAACTTTTATTTAAGACAAGCCTCCCCTTTCACAGATACATAAAGTGTGGAGAGAGAGGACCATGAGATCATTGACCCTCACAAAGAGTGCTTTTATGCCTCCTCAGAAAGAGGAATAGAGGGATAGCAAGAAAGGAATCTGCCCTCTGCCAGCAACAGGTTCTCTTTTCTTTCACTACTGTACAGGTGCGGACTAAGACCAGAAATCGGCCCTTTCATTTCTAACACACGGGTCCATTTTTTACCTTGAGGCCCTCTGCTTGAGGCCCCCACAAGTTGATTCTTAGTTTTGTAGCACAATATCTTAATCACATATCTGCTTGTGCATTCAAGAGGAGCTGTACCTACATCATATTGTATACCCAGAGATATTCCCACCTACAGCTGCACTCTGCCTGGTGGTCCTGACTGTGTTGCTCAATGCAATTTGCTCTCAGCAATTAGGCTGCAGTAAAGAGCTGCATGTTTATGCAGCCTGTGATGAGAGAGAGAGAGAGAGAGAGAGAGAGAGGTAGCTAGGCCCCTTAGTTCCAGTGAAGGGAAATCGTAACGCTACAGCATACAATGACATACAGAAATCGTTTGTCAAGATCGGTGTGGAAGAACTTGACTGGCTTGCACAGAGCCCTGACCTCAACCCCATCGAACACCTTTGGGATGAATTGGAACGCCGACTGCGAGCCAGGCCTAATCGTCCAACATCAGTGCCCGACCTCACTAATGCTCTTGTGGCTGAATGGAAGTAAGTCCCGCAGCAATGTGCCCATGATTTTGGAATGAGATGTTCGACAAGCAGGTGTCCACATACTTTTGGTCATGTAGTGTATATACTGTATTCTAGTCATGGCTCATCCTACAGTATATACAGTGGGGAAAATAAGTATTTAGTCAGCCACCAATTGTGCAAGTTCTCCCACTTAAAAAGATGAGAGAGGCCTGTAATTTTCATCATAGGTACACGTCAACTATGACAGACAAAATGAGGGAAAAAAATCCAGAAAATCACATTGTAGGATTTGTAATGAATTTATTTGCAAATTATGGTGGAAAATAAGTATTTGGTCACCTACAAACAAGCAAGATTTCTGGCTCTCACAGACCTGTAACTTATTCTTTAAGAGGCTCCTCTGTCCTCCACTCGTTACCTGTATTAATGGCACCTGTTTGAACTTGTTATCAGTATAAAAGACACCTGTCCACAACCTCAAACAGTCACACTCCAAACTCCACTATGGCCAAGACCAAAGAGCTGTCAAAGGACACCAGAAACAAAATTGTAGACCTGCACCAGGCTGGGAAGACTGAATCTGCAATAGGTAAGCAGCTTGGTTTGAAGAAATCAACTGTGGGAGCAATTATTAGGAAATGGAAGACATACAAGACCACTGATAATCTCCCTTGATCTGGGGCTCCACGCAAGATCTCACCCTGTGGGGTCAAAATGATCACAAGAACGCTGAGAAAAAATCCCAGAACCACACGGGGGGACCTAGTGAATGACCTGCAGAGAGCTGGGACCAAAGTAACAAAGCCTACCATCAGTAACACACTACGCCGCCAGGGACTCAAATCCTGCAGTGCCAGACGTGTCCCCCTGCTTAAGCCAGTACATGTCCAGGCCCGTCTGAAGTTTGCTAGAGTGCATTTGGATGATCCAGAAGAGGATTGGGAGAATGTCATATGGTCAGATGAAACCAAAATATAACTTTTTGGTAAAAACTCAACTCGTCGTGTTTGGAGGACAAAGAATGCTGAGTTGCATCCAAAGAACACCATACCTACTGTGAAGCATGGGGGTGGAAACATCATGCTTTGGGGCTGTTTTTCTGCAAAGGGACCAGGACGACTGATCCCTGTAAAGGAAAGAATGAATGGGGCCATGTATCGTGAGATTTTGAGTGAAAACCTCCTTCCATCAGCAAGGGCATTGAAGATGAAACGTGGCTGGGTCTTTCAGCATGACAATGATCCCAAACACACCGCCCGGGCAACGAAGGAGTGGCTTCGTAAGAAGCATTTCAAGGTCCTGGAGTGGCCTAGCCAGTCTCCAGATCTCAACCCCATAGAAAATCTTTGGAGGGAGTTGAAAGTCTGTGTTGCCCAGCGACAGCCCCAAAACATCACTGCTCTAGAGGAGATCTGCATGGACGAATGGGCCAAAATAACAGCAACAGTGTGTGAAAACCTTGTGAAGACTTACAGAAAATGTTTGACCTGTGTCATTGCCAACAAAGGGTATATAACAAAGTATTGAGAAACTTTTGTTATTGACCAAATACTTATTTTCCACCATAATTTGCAAATAAATTCATTAAAAATCCTACAATGTGATTTTCTGGATATTTTTTCCTCATTTTGTCTGTCATAGTTGACGTGTACCTATGATGAAAGTTACAGGCCTCTCTCATCTTTTTAAGTGGGAGAACTTGCACAATTGGTGGCTGACTAAATACTTTTTTCCCCACTGTAGCTACTGCTGTACACACCTTTTCTATTCATATACTGTCCATACTGTATATACACACCATTTATATATATACACTTATATTCTGGACACTGACATTGCTCGTTCTGATATTTCTGATATTTTTTTACCTTTTGGATTATGTGTATTGTTATTGTATTACTAGATATTACTGTGCTGTCTAAGCTAGAAACATAAGCATTTTGCTGCACCTGCGATATCTGCAAACCTGTGTACGCGACCAATAAACTTGATTTGATTTGATGCCTTTGTTGTGCTTTGAGAGCAGCCAACCAACACAGTGTTTACTCCTGACCTGATAGTAGCAGTCAGTGTGTGCACTGCACTGTACACATTCCCATAAAAAGAAATTAGGCCTACTAACAGCCAGCCAGGCAGGCAGGCCTACTGCGGCCTTCAAAGAGAGGCATTTATCAGTGCATCTGGAGAGGAGCCTATCAGATAAGGGTGTGGAACCACAGCCCAGGACACCTCACAGTTCTCCTGTCCTAACCCGGCCCTGTGTCGTCTCTCTCCTTTAATCCTGCCTCATTGTGTGTCTGCTCTGCTGCAGGTGTCTTCTCTTTCTCTATATATCTATGTATATAACAAGACCCCATTGATTTATTAAAAGGTGAGGAGGAAGAATGTGTTTGCTTGGGCACTTTGAATAGAAAAACCTACTGTATCTAATCTGTGAGGTTAGAAAGATATTAAAGGGAGACTGGGTGGATGGACCCACAACTTGTGTGAGCTGCTACACCTTCATGTTAGGCCTTTCACCCACTTTCTGACAGTGTCTACACAGAGAGGGAGCATATTTCAAAGTCCTCCAGTGCCTGGCTGAGAGTGAGACCCTCCAGATTGTTGCCCCTCTGTGTTTGCCACACAGACTGATGGAGTGAAAGGCAAGCATATTAAGGAGGTTTTGGCCCCTCAGGTCACTCCAACTACTTTAAACCCAGCCACAGACAATGGCCACAACCAGCAGACAATACCCGGGTTCAGACAACAAACAAATCAAGTGTCCTGCACATAAAATATTTATTGCATCAGCCAACAAAGGCCGCCCACAAAGCTCCCCGTGAGCCATCTTTTAAGGGCCTGTGTCAGGGTGAGCTCTGCTGGGTCACTTTGCTTTTTGTTGGCCTCTCCACTATCTAAAGGCTGCAGCTATAAACATTCTAATGAAATGGAGAACATTCAAAAGCAGCTTATAAAATGCAGTGCTCTCCAGTTTCTTTATTTATCTCCGACAGTGCAGCAAACTAAAAAGTAATTATTTATTCCTCTGTTCCTCCGCAGACTTGGGTGTGAACGCTCCAGAAAGGAGAGTGAAAACCTTTGGAGCGGATGGCTGGCTGGAACACATTTTAGCTGAATTAAATAAAGGATTTCAATGACACTCTTAATCAAGACTCAAATCTTCTCGCTAAACCCGCAGCCAAGAATCATGACTAAGTATAATTTGCAGTTAGCGCAGCTATTACGGCTTTGGCACAGAGAGAATTACAAAACAGAGGGGTAAGTGTGAGGGGAACCCCAGTAACAATCATACTGTGATTAGTATAGCATAGTATAGTATAGCATAGTATAGTGTAGTGTAGTATAGTGTATTGCAGTGTAGGGAAGTATAGTATCGTATAGCATAATGCAGGCAAGACTAAATACATGTTGTTCTCTAGTTCTCACAAGAATGTTTCAGATGGACTACATATTTATTCATTGGATGGTTCTCCCATTCGTCTGGGTCCCCACCTACAAATATCTGGGCATTTGGATTGACAAAGACGATGTTTAAAGTTAAAAAGCAAAGATTTAAAGTGGGCTTAATTTTTAGAAATAGATCTTGCCTCTCCCTAAACAGCAGGAAGCAGATTGTACAGTCACCTTTCCTGCCAGTTCTTGACTACGGTGACACCATTTACCAGAATACAGCAGCCACTACTCTTAAACCTTTGGATGCTGTCTACCATAGCGCCCTTTACTTTATCACAGGTGACAGTTTTAATACTCATCACTACATCCTGTATCAAAAGGTTGTCTGGTCCTCACTAAAGTCTCGTAGATCAATTCATTACTCCCTTTTTGTTTACAAAGCCATGCTACACAAGCTTCCAATTTACCTAACTTCATTGCTAACATATAAAAGAATGAGCTACCAAACCTGCTCGCAGGATTGGTTAACTCTTGATGTCCCTCTGGTCTTGACCAATTTAGGTAAATCCTCCTTTAGTTTTAGTGCCCCCCATTGTTGGAATAACCTACAAAATTCCTTGCATCTTCATTCCCTGGAGCCGCTATGGCAGTTTAGGACTCGGGTGTTGAATGAATTCATTGAGGATTGTAGTGGTTTATTTGTTAAAATTGTGGTGTTGAGGTTGTGCCTTGTGGTTATTTTTATTTGTCTTGTTTTAATTGTAATGTACATTGTTTGTCCTCAGGGCACCATTGGGAATGAGACCCTGGTCTCAATTGGGCTACCATGAATAAATAAAAGTTAATAAAAAAATGGTATAGTATAGTGTAGCGTAGTATAGTATAGTATAGTATAGTATAGTGTAGTACAATACAGTATAGTATAGGAGAGGAGAGGATTCAGACTATGGTTAGTACAGGGGCAGACAGTGGTAGCTAGGTCTGTTACATGAGGCTGAGCAGGGTTGTGTGGGTTCACTGGCAGGGCTCTCTCTCCTCTTCCTGTCCTTTCTGTAGACGAGGTGAGGTTTGTTGTGCTCCTCGTCGTACTCCTCCCCCTCCTCTGCCTTCATCAGGGGCTCTAAGAAGTATTCACCATGCTGGGTGGTAAAAGTCCCCATCTGTAGGAGAGAGGGTAGATAGAGAGAGAAGAGTTGGTAAGAGGAGGTCTGTGAAGGGTGTATGGCAGCTATACATATGTAGGATCTTAATTTGAGCCAGTTTGCTATAGCAGGAAAATAATCCTGCAGAAACAGGAAATGTGAATTATAAATAATGGACATTTTTTGTAGGAGTTCATACATTTTTCGTTGGGAGAAATCAAGTCATTTTAAAGTGGAAATTACAAACTTTAGAAGCCTTTTTCAACCTCGAATATACTACAAGTTTGCATTTCCTGACGTGCAGGAAAATTCTCAACAATAAAATAGTGATCAAATGAAGATCCTACATCTGTAGCATGATAGGATCGGTGTCTATATAACTCCTTTGAGTAGTCCCTACCAGGCAGCAAGCACATGTCCTGTATTGTCCCAGACATAGATCTAGAGACATTGTAATCAACTCAACTCCTCGTGCTAATTATTACATTTGTTCATTCAGGACCATAACGGTTATTGGCACCATGTATCAGTGATTGATGTGAGTGATGTACCTAGCTGTTATAATATGTGTGCTGTTTCCCTGAGTAAATGTTGAGTACTATTAAAGTACACAGTGTGCTATGCATCATTAGTTCCATGACTAGTCCAAACAACACAAGAATAATGCAAAACGAAAATCTTCCAAAAGTACACTGTCTTCCAAAAATATCTATATTTAGCCAGTGGAAATGGAAACACCATGGAAAATAGGGAAACAGAAAAAAACTACTTAGAAAGGTCTCTGTCAATCACCATTGATCACACTGGTAATCCCTCTTAGTACAGATGTTTGATCTTAATTTGACCAGACTTGTAGTGGCAGTAACACGATCTTGCCGTGGCAGTATTTGAATGTCTGATCATGTTGCCGCAGTATATGGATAGGCCATCATGTAATATCCTATGTTTCTCAGAGTCGTGGCTGAACGAGGACATGGATAATGTTCATGTAGCTGTTTATGCATCGGCAGGACAGAACGGCAGCTTCGGGTAAGCTAAAAAAGTATAGAATGGCGCCGGAGAAGATGTCTGCCGTTTTACAGCCCTCTTACCAATTGTACTATTATGTGTGTTTTTCCGCATTATTTGTAATTTATTCTGTACATAATGTTTCTGCCATCGTCTCTTATAACCAAAATGAGCTTCTGGATATCAGGACAGCGATTACTCACCTCGTATTGGACGAATAATTTTTCTTCAACAAGTCGGACGCGAAGGATATCCTACAGACACCCGACAAGGCCCAAATCCCCGTCATTCGCATGAGACAGAGACAGAGATATCGTGGACGTAGGTCGGGGTGCCTTGTAAGGATCCGACGGTGAGCGAGTAAACTGCCTCTTCCATCAAACCTATTAGCCAATGTTCAATCATTTGAGAATAAATTGGATGACCTAAGATTACGGTTATCCTACCAACGAGACATAAAAAACTGTAATATCTTATGTTTCACTGAGTCGTGGCTGAACGACGACATGGACAACATACAGCTAGCAAGCTATACGCTACATCGGCAGGATAGAACGGCTTACTCCGGTAAGACAAGGGGTGGCGGTCTGTGTATATTTGTAAACAACAGCTGGTGCACAAAATCAAATACTAAGGAAGTCTCAAGGTTTTGCTTATGATAAGCTGTAGACCACACTATTTACCAAGAGAGTTTTCATCTATATTTTTCATAGACGTCTATTTACCACCACAAACCAATGCTGGCATTAAGATTGCACTGAATGAGCTGTATAAGGCCATAAGTGAACAGGAAAACGCTCATCCAGAGGCAGCACTCCTAGTGGCCGGGGACTTTAATGCAGGGAAACTTAAATCCGTTCTACCTAATTTCTACCAGCATGTTAAATGTGCAACCAGAGGAAAAAAAACTCTAGACCACCTTTACTCCACACACAGAGACGCATATAAAGCTCTCCCTCGCCCTCCATTTGGCAAATCTGACCATCCATAACTCTATCCTACATGAGAATGCTATTCATTGACTACAGCTCTGCATTCAACACCATAGTGCCCTCAAAGCTCATCACTAAACTAAGGATCCTGGGACTAAACACCTCCCTCTGCAACTGGATCCTGGACTTCCTGACGGGCCGCCCCCAGGTGGTAAGGGTAGGTAACAACACATCTGCCACACTGATCCTCAACACGGGGGCCCCTCAGGGGTGCGTGCTCAGTCCCCTCTTGTACTCCCTGTTCACCCATGACTGCATGGCCAGGCACGACTCAACAGTGGTAGGCCTGATCACCGACAATGATGAGACAGCCTATAGGGAGGAGGTCAGAGACCTGGCCGTGTGGTGCCAGGATAACAACCTCTCCCTCAACGTGACCAAGACAAAGGAGATGATTGTGGACTACAGGAAAAAAAAGAGGACTGAGCACGCCCCCATTCTCATCGACGGGGCTGTAGTGGAACAGGTTGAGAGCTTCAAGTTCCTTGGTGTCAACATCACCAACGAACTATCATGGTCCAAACACACCAAGACAGTCGTGAAGAGGGCACGACAAAGCCTATTCCCCCTCAGGAGACTGAAAAGATTTGGCATGGGTCCTCAGATCCTCAAAAAATTATACAGCTGCACCATCGAGAGCATCCTGACTGGTTGCATCACCTCTTGATATGGCAACTGCTCGGCCTCCGACCGCAAGGCACTACAAAGGGTAGTGCGTACGGCCCAGTACATCACTGGGGCCAAGCTTCCTGCCATCCAGGACCTCTATACCAGGCGGTGTCAGAGGAAGGCCCTCAAAATTGTCAAAGACTCCAGCCACCCTAGTCATAGACTGTTCTCTCTGCTACATCAGGGGCTCTAAGATGTAGCAGAGAGAGTTTACTACATCAGTCACCAGCTCCATTATTAACTGCATCGTCAACGTCGTCCCCACAGTGACCGTATGTACTTAAACCATGGATTACAGGAAGCATCCGCACTGAGCAAAAGGCTAGAGCTGACACTTTCAAGGAGCGGGATACTAATCCGGACGCTTATAAGAAATCCCGCTACGACCTCCGACGAGCCATCAAACAGGCAAAGTGTCAATACAGGACTAAGCTCGGATCCTACTTCACCGACCCTGATGCTAGTCAGATGTGGCAGGGCTTGCAAACTATCATGGATTACAAAGGGAAACCCAGCCACGAGCTGCCCAGTGATGAAAGCCTACCAGACGAGCTAAATACGCTTTGAGGCAAACAACACTGAACCAAGCATGAGAACACCAGCTGTTCTGGACGACTATGTGATCGCGCTCTCTGTAGCCGATGTGAGTAAGACCTTTAAACAGGTTAACATTCACAAGGCTGCAGGGCCATACGAATTACCAGGACGCGTACTCAGAGCATGTGCTGACCAGCTGGCAAGTGTCTTCACTGACATTTTCAACCTCTCCCTGACCCAGTCTGTAAAACCTACATGTTTCAAGTAGACCACCATAGTGATTTTGCCCAAGAACACTAAGGTAACCTGTCTAAATGACTATCGCCCCGTAGCACTCACACCTGTAGCCATGAAATGCTTTGAAAGGCTGGTCATGGCTCACATCAAGACCATCACCCCAGACACCCTGCACCCACTCCAATTCGCATACCGCACCAACAGATCCACAGATGACGCAAACTCTATTGCACTCCACACTTTCCTTTCCCACTAGGACAAAAGGAACACCTACGTGAGAATGCTGTTCATTGACTACAGCTCAGTGTTCAACACCTAACTTCCCTCAAAGCTCATCACTAAGTTAAGGACCCTGGGACTGAACACCTCCCTCTGCAACTGGATCCTGAACTTCCTGACGGGCCGCCCCCAGGTGGTGAGAGTAGGCAACAACACATCTGCCACGCTGACCCTGAACAGGGGAGCCCCTCAGGGGTGCGTGCTTAGTCCCGTCCTGTACTCCCTGTTCACCCATGACTGTGTGGCCGCGCATGACTCCAATTCCATAATTAAGTTTGCTGACTACACGACAGTGGTAGGCCTAATCACCAACAACGATGAGACAGCCTATAGGGAGGAGGCCAGGACCTCTATACCAGGCGGTGTCAAAGGAAGGCCCAAATGTTTTTCAAAGACTCCAGCCACCCAAGTCATAGACTGTTCTCTCTGCTACCGCACAGCAAGTGGCACCGATGCACCAAGTCTGGAACCAACAGGACCCTGAACAGCTTCTAACCCCAAGCCACAAGACTGCTAAATAGTTAGTCCGGGTAGCTATTTGGTTAACTATTTAACTATCTGCATTGACCCTTTTTGCACAAACTTTTTTTGACTCATCACATACGCTGCTGCTACTGTTTATTATCTACCCTGTTGACTAGTCACTTTATTCCTAGTTATACAGTCGTATAAAAAAGTTTGGGCACCCCTCTGAGGCTGCATAATAATTTACTCTGTCGTCACAGAAAATGATCACAGTGGCATGCCATTCATTTTCTAATAAAAGCTGAGTACTGGGGTATTGTCCAGACAAAGATTATTAGTGTAGCAATATTAAGTTGTATGAAATTAAATCAGATGTGAAAAATAGGCTATGCAAAAATTTGGGCACCCTTGTCATTCTGTTGATTTGAATACCTTTAACTACTTAGTACTGATTAATTGGAACACACAATTGGTTTGGTGAGCTCATTAAGCCTTGAACTTCATAGACAAGTGCATCCAATCATGAGAAAATGTATTTAAGGTGGCCAATTGCAAGTTGTTGTTCTCTTTGACTCTCCTCTGAAGAGTGGCAAAAAAAGTGGGGGGCTCAAAACAACTCTCAAATGACCTGAAAACAAAGATTGTTCAACATTATGGTTTAGGGGAAGGCTACAAAAAGCTATCACAGAGATGTAAGCTGTCAGTGTCCACTGTGAGGAACATAGTGAGGAAATGGAAGACCACAGGCACAGTTCTTATTAAGGCCAGAAGTAAATGATTGTATTTTATTT